CCATTGCAAACTCCAGATACAAAACATGTTCTGGCTGAAAACTATGTAAATAAAATTTTTCACTGAAAAGATGTTTCATAATAATACACTAGTATGCTAATAATAGCACAGTAGTATGCTAACAATGTTGTAAGGCCACTGCCTGAATTTCAGACTGAACACATTCCTCCAGACAATAGAGTTGGAGTTGATCTATATTAGATCAGACTTTACTTATAAACACATCGGATTTGCTAAGGTTTCTATTGGCTTGTTCACAGTAGGGGTCCTTCACCATGGTAACGAACTGTCTCTCAGCCTTTCACCCAACTGTGGGCAATAATCAATGCTCTTGTCCACGAAGAAATGAATGCAACCAACCAACCAGTCAAACAAATATTTTTTTTCAAAAATTTGTATGCATACAGAAGCACACATTTGCATAGCTTAGAGGCTGATTGACAGCTGTCATCAATCATCCATTAAATTTTCATCATTAATATTTCTCCCAACTCAACACTAATAAATCACCTGTTTTGTGGCTGCTGTTGTGTAACAAGGTGCTCTGTTTCTGTAGGTTTGAACTTTATAAAAAAGCAATGTGGGAATGTTTCAGATTTAGTTTTGTATGAATATAGCTTAAGGACAAAAATAATATTACAATATTTCACATTCGTTAGGATAAAATGCTTTTTCTCCCTCTCTCCTATGGGAGCATGCTAAGATCATAGCAGCAATGTGTTTGTTTTTCATCTTTGGGTGTTTTCTTTTTTTATGGTTCTTTATTTTCCACAAATAAATAAACCAAAACACATTAGACCACAGAGCACATAAACAGTACTGAGGAGTTCATTTAGCATATATTTTCTCCGCTCTCTTTATTTCAGGATACCTCAGGATGTTTTGTCTGAAAATAATTTTCCAGATCTCCAACATTCCATCTGGGTGTATCAACACAACTAAAAGCTCACTGACTGTTGTTAAATGGTCAGAAGGCAGCAGCAAATACCCTACATACTGCATCATGTTAAGAACAGCTAAAAACTGTGTAGTTACACATTAACAATACATTAACGACAATGTAACTACTGGTGATGGGTTTACTTACAGATTACAGTACAGGTTATGTAATTAGACATAGCAATCCCTGTAATTACACAAGTGTCTTGATGGTTGTAATAGCATATTTTCTCTTTTGTAATTACACATGTACTACACTGCTGATTTTCCAAAGGAGTTTTCTGATTGTAACAAATGTGTAATAACATTGAGAGCTTACATTGCATCTGCACAGGAAATACCAACTTTCCTAACATTTATCTAGCTAATAGACTTGTGTTGTGACATGGTTACCAAAGTTCTGGTTTTAAACCATTCTGTAAAATTATGTTATTTACAATAGCAGATGTCCATTTATCTTTGCATAGGCACTGTGAAATTACAAATGGGTATTAATGAATGTGATTTGAGCAGTTTAGCATGTTAAACACAACCATCCTGCAGTAAGTATGAAATAAGTGGAGAGTTCTTTGGTAGTTGTTATATAGACACAGTGAAATTATAGACTGGTAATTCAGACATTGCTTTTAGAGTCATGTAATACTACACAGTTGTTTGTAAAGATGCTGTTAGTTACTATGTCACAATACAGGCATAACTACTACTGCTAAATGATAGCAGCTAGTGAAATTTTCCATTTCCTCTGCAGACACAGTGTAAGTAATGTAGATAATTATACACTTATTAGGTTCAGAAAAGACAGAAAAGTTCACCCAGTTACACATATGTAATTATATAAGAGGAGATATGCTGTTACAACTGTCAAGAAACACTCATTTTAATTACATGTAATTGCATGAGTTGATGTATATTTACTTAAGCTGTGCTATTGTAATCCATTTGTAATGGTATATGCATCACCGGTAGTTACATTGTTGCTTCATGCATTGTTAATGGTTAACTACACAGTTATAGACACAATATAAAGGAGAACCTAATTTTTTTTCAGAAAATGGATAGTTCTGGTCCTAAGATCTGATTGGCTGAGCCATGTTTGAAGTTGTAAAATACATGATATATGGTAGTTTTAGTCAGATCTGCGTTAAGTAGCATCAAACTCAGTTTGAATCACAAATGGGTCTGTACTCCCTAAACAGTAAGCTATGTAAGTTTGGAAATTCTGCCTTCTACAGCTAAATAGAACACTATTATATGACTGTGGTTGAATCCCAAATGACTATAGCTGCATCCCAATTCATGGCCAGGGTCCTTCGGAGGCTGCATTTGAAGGCTGATTACTTCACAGTGTCGCGACTAGGCTGTCCCATTTCGAAATCTCCTTCACATACGGCCGAGAAATGTGTCATCCTTTTCCATGGCAATGAAGGATCCAATGGATGCCAACCTTTTATTTTGCTTTATGGAGCAAGGAGCAGACAGAGAGAAGCTTAACTTGATAAGATAACTTAAAATAACTTGATAAGAGCAGCGTTATGAAACTCACTGGTAAGGGTGGGAAATCCGTCATAGAGCAGACCATTTCATTTCAGTTCAACCTTCGGACAAGAATTCGTAGACCACGTCCTTTGAAGGATGCAGCCTCTGAATTGGAACAGTGTAAATATAGCTATTGCATGCACTGTTGGGGTGCAGGAGCCAGTATTTAAATCCCTATGTAATGCACTATGTAGGGAGCAGGAAGGCATTTGAGCTTAAGCCTCTATTGACCACAATATACAATGACGGGTGACCAAATGTTCTTCTGCCCATTCAGAAGTCCATAATTGCTTGGCAACAATACCATACTCTAAAGGGACCACAATTTTTAGCTAAATACATGTTTCTGTTACTTTTTATTTAAATATATATATATATATATATATATATATATATATATATATATATATATATATATATATATGATGCATAAATTTTTAATTTATTTTATTCACTCAAATGTGCCACTACTAAATTATCTACAACTTTGCAGTAAAGTATGCCTTGGTAGCTGGACTGTGTTATTTTAATGCTAACTGAAACTTGGAAGGTTGACCCCAAACTAATGTTAGCTTGTCTACACTACATAGTAAACTATATTCAACTACTCCTCATACAAAACAAATATCATTTAGAAATTTAGATTCCAATTTCTCAATTGGAACATTGCCCAACATTCTGTACATCCTAGCAACATTAACTATAAAAGAATGTATTTGTTCATGAGGCATGGACAGGCCAATTGAAATGTGGAACTGCTCAATGTTTTTAGAGTTAACGGGGTTAATTAACTTCTGAAAAGGATGAATCGCTGCAAAATGAGCAGACAAAGTCCTTCCAGTCTCTTCTTGCCCACCAGATGGCTGGACAATGTTCATACAGAAATTGCTGACCATTCACTTTCTCAAACAAGCTGAGTGTTACAGTTTAGAGATGAAATCTGTACAGGAAACGCACACACAAAACGACGACAACTGCTGAGGCTCCCCACCTGTCAGCGCAGTAGTGAAAAGAGTCCTCTCTGAAGTTTGTTCTTCTCCATCTCCACTACTCATTAGAGAATGAGCAGGAGTTCGCCGAGCGGTCAGAGTGCCCCAGGGGACGGCTAGAGAACAGTTCTACAATTCTGATCTGGGTTCAGCCTCGCACCTTAACAGTGTCTCGTTAATTAGAGACATGAGCAAACTCACTGGCAAAACAATTCTTATTTGCAAATATAGCCTTTGGCTCAGAAACACTGGGCTCTAAATATTTCCCTCAGTGAAAATATAGCAAACCAGTGCTAAAGCATTTTTCTCTTTTCTCTGATAACAAAGGAGCAAAAAATAAATGTTTCCTCTCTCTTACAGCCTGATACAGTTTTATAGGATCTGTTTCTGTAATGGAGAATGGAGAAGCAGAATGAATGCGCTATACCGACATGATTCAATAGCTGTAAAAGCTGACTCATAAAAACCGCTGTGGGCTGCAATGCTGTAAATGCATGATGATGCCCTGTGCCAAGAAAAGTCTCTGCAGTAGGAAATGGACACCGCTGCATTTTGACAACTTTATCATCAGCCCCTCAGTCAAATAACAGCACGAGAACAATAGAGAAGGCAGAGTTTTTACTGTTGCTGAATTTTGATCATTGTTGAATTATTGCTTCACTAATTCTTTACCTTTACTGACCTCTGTACCATTGCTGAATGTTTACTTTTACATTTACAGAAACTTCAATTTTATTTTATTGAAATTTTACTGGCATTTTTTTACTTTTAGATAATTTAACTGTTTTTTAACTGTGTTTTAACTGTTTAACTGTCTTTTACTAATTTTTCATTTTTGCTGTTTTTTTTTCCATTTTTGCTGTTTTTTTCATTTACTGAAATTTTACCTTTGTTGAATATTTATAATTAGTTTTTTTTTTTCTTTTGCTATTTAACTTAAACAAATTTTAAAATTCCAAATTACTCTTAACTTATTAACTTAGTTATTAAATGATTCTAAATGAAATGAAATGATGAATTAAATAATTCTAAATTCCAAATCATTATTTTACTAACTCTTCACTTTGGCTATTTTATATTTACTGAAGATTCAGTGATTCACTGATTTTATTATTCCTTGATTAATTTTTACCTTTGCTGTGGCAGCATCCTCTGTTTTCTCTGTAGAATATCATCTGAAACCCCTTGCTTTCACCTTTATTCAAATTTTGAATCCTGAAATTTCACTTTTACCGATTTTTCATTTTTGCTGACTTTTTACATTTAGCAAAATTTCACTTTTGCTGAACTTTATCTTTACAGAAATTTCATTTTTACTGAACTTTTACTTTTTCTGACCGTTCACAATCTGTTTTTTGCTTTTCCTATTTTTTCAGTGATTTTTTTAATCTTTAAATTATTCTAAATTAAATGAACTGATCTATAACATCTTTCTAAATTCTAAATTATTATTTTTCTGACTCTTCACTTTGGCTATTTTATATGTATTGAAGATTTACCTTTACTGAATTTTTACCATTTTTATCGAATTCTTACCTTTGCTGCGGCGGCGCCCTCTGTGTTCTGTGTAGAATTTCATCTGATTCTCATCATCCACCTCTAATCCAGCATCTACCTGACGTCCAAAGACACCACCTGCTGAGAGAGAGAGAGAGAGATTTTATTATATTTGAAACTAATGAACCGTAATGAAAGGTGAAGCTCAGGCTGCTATAATAGTGAATAATTCTGTAGACTCAGAAATAAAGCTCTTCTTCATGGAGCTCTGTGGACAGTGTGAATGACTGAATATCCACTGCTCTGTCCTCAGTGGTCATCAGCCCTGCGGCTCTACACTCCACACTCATTGGCCCATTGAGACGCCATCTGGACACCCAGAGCACCATAAGACCTCCATTAAACCTCAAGGTCTTTATGAAATAAGGAAATTAATCCCACATAATTATATGGTATTACAGGTTAGTAGTCCACAAAGTGAAGCCATATTTTGAAATTAATTTGACAAACTGTTGAATTTGATTCTTACAGATATAATTATAGCAGAAAAAATCTGAATAAGCAGGGAGCCAGGAAGCATATTTTTGCTACAAAGAGACATTTAAAACATGCTCAAACTGTATGCATTATTATTATGATAACTAAAATAAATTCAGAAATTAAGGCTAAAATGCTCATTTTGGCTGTAAAGGTGTTAAACGTTAGAATTAAATTCAATAATTAATTCAATGAATTGTTTACATTACTATGTAGATTAGCATGTATACAATGTATTTGTAATTACAATGTGATTACATTGTACTATGAAGTATATTACATGCTTACACCATCATATAGCAATGTATATCTTATGTTTGAGATATAGGCTGATCTTTTCTGTTGCTATTTGAGAAGATAACTGTGCATATGTATTTCCGCTCAGTATGTGTTATGGCACTGGGGTTAAAGAGGACATATTAAAGTAAAGCTGGCATGTCTGCCTGTGTTTTTACCAGTAACACTGTGAAATATTAATGGAACACATTCCTATTAATATTACATTTCTTTGCCTCTCTGTTTTAGCACTTATTACACAACAACAGTCATACTGGCAGAAGCTAAATGCATTGAGGTTACATTTGAAGGGACTTTTCAGTCTGAAAACATTTGTGTGGCTGGCTATCCTTATGCACTCTATTAGCATAGCAAACATGGCATTACAGATACTAAATGGATTTTGAATTCATGTTCTTGTGTTTCTGGAAACTATAACTGAGATGAAACAATGTTTTCAATTTGCAGAACTTTCATTTGTTTTTTTGTTTTTTTTTTTCATTTTGTTCTTTAGTGTTACAGTAGAGCTTCAAAACCAATGTAGTTAACAGGAAAACAAACATTGTGCTACCTCCATGCTTAAATTGCCATACACACCTCAAACCATGTCCAGTTGTTAAGTAGTCAGTGATAGAGTTGATTGTGTGATTTCTCATGCCCTATGCACTCATCTATAAACATGGACAAAAGCATGGACAGTCTTCACTATGGCTATTACTGTGTTTAGCCATGCTACATACTTCTGTCCATTTTTAGTGATAATAAAATGCCATACAGTGCCACAAACCATGTAGCAAGTCTATTAGAAATTACCAAAAATTTTCACACAGTTTCTGGCAAAAGTGTGATAATTAGCATGCTAATTTATTTGTTACGTACATTAGCTTGGTGGCTCCAGTACAACTAAAGAAGCACATTTCAAACACCAAACATGTCTTGACTGGTCAACTATAATTGCAATAAGGGGGAATTGTGTCAATTAGATTTTATCACAAAATATCACTTAAAAAGGGAAAACAAAAAGGAAAATGAATAGTGATCATCAGTGCTAGCAATTTACTGTTTTATTGATCTACATGAACATGAGCACATTTCTTTCTCTCTTTCTTTCTTTGAATTTATTTTTTAACTTAAAACTCGATGGCTGGATTTAGCTCTGAACTGCCACTGCACATCGGCCGGCATCGTGTGCTTTAAAAGTCACCATGAAAGTTTAAAATTCCTTTTAAAATCCTTCCACTTCACAGCTTTCTCTATTTGTTGGTTGGGTCGGGATCAACTTACGGTTTAGCGAGACGTTCTCAGCTTTTGACATCCACTCTAAAAACACACACCTGAGCTGCTCCTCTGAAGAGATAATTGCAGGCTTACAGTCATGTACATGCCAAAGCTCTTCAGAGTCTTAGAGCTGGCAGCCCTTCATGGCATTATTCTCTAAAAAAAAGAATTTTCTCAAGAAAATAAATAATTACCCTGTTATCAAAAAGTGTTTCTGTCATGATGAAACTAAGTATTGGCCCTGTTGCTGGGAGATCACAATGTTGCTAAAGCCATGCATGAGATCACAGTTATCTTTGCTTTCTCTGGGTGGGAAGGAAGACCCCCATCACTCAGCTCAATGTTAATCAGGGATGGCATCTGTTAGTCAACGTAACAGAATTGGCAGTTTGCTTTCTTCCCCTAAGTGTGGTGAGCTGTACAATGACATTGTGCTAACTGATGTTTGTGAAGATGTGGGCTTCACATGACTGGAGGAAGCACATTATTAGATAGATCAGATTACAGTATGCCATACAGTGGCACTTACACAAGTTTATTTGAGATCACAACAATTTCACACAGTTTTAGTTTTTACACAAAATGTTTGTGATTTTGGTTGTTTGACCTTTTCCCTCCAGCCTTTTTTTAATGTTGACTGAGAACTGGCTGAGAGACTTTGGTAGTGGAATTTGACTGGGCTGTGAACTGGGACAGTTTTCATTATGAAAGCAGGGCTTGACTGGGCTGCAAACTTGGACAGTTTTCATCATGAAAGCAGGGCTTGACTGGGCTGCAGACTGGGACAGTTTTCATCATGAAAGCAGGGCTTGACTGGGCTGCAGACTGTGACAGTTTTCATCATGAAAGCAGGGCTTGACTGGGCTGCAAACTGAGAGATTCTTCTCAGCGGTAGTGGAGTTTGACTGGGCAGTGAGCTGGATGAGTTTTCACTGCACTAGTAGAGTTTGACTGAATCAAGAGCCAGGAAACTTTTTACTTTGGTAGTCAAGTTTAATGGGGCGATTAGTTGTGACAATTTTCACAGTGATAGTAGAGTTTGACTGGGCCTCAAGCTGGGAAACTTTTCACAATGATAGCAGCATTTTACTGTGCCATTAACTGGGAAAACTCACTATGGTAGTGGAGTTTGACTGGGCTGTGAGTGAGAACATGTTTTACCAAGATAGTCATGTTTGACTGGACCATTACCTGGGACAGTTTTCACTGCAGGAGTGAAGTTTGACTGGTGCCTGGACATTTTTCATTGCAGTAGTGCAGTTTGACTGGACTGAGAGCCTGAACATTTTTCAACACAATAGTGGAGTTTGACTGGGCCATTAGCTGGGACACTTTTCACAATGATATTGGTATTTGACTGGGCCGTTAATGAGAAATCTCACTATGATAGTGGAGTTTGACTGGGCTATGAGTCAGACCACTTTTTATCATAATAGTTGTGTGTTGACTGGGCCGTTAACTGGGATAGTTTTCACTGCAGTTGTGCAGTTTGACTGGACTGAGAGCCTGGACATTTTTCAACACAGTAGTGGAGTTTGACTGGGCCATATGCTGGGACATTTTTCATTATGGTAGTGGAGTTTGACTGGGCCATATGCCGGGACATTTTTCATTATGGTAGTGGAGTTTGACTGGGCCATATGCCGGGACATTTTTCATTATGGTAGTGGAGTTTGACTGGGCCATATGCCGGGACATTTTTCATTATGGTAGTGGAGTTTGACTGGGCCATATGCTGGGACATTTTTCATTGTGGTAGTGGAGTTTGACTGGGCCATGTACCGGGACACTTTTCACTCTGGTAGTGAACGTTGACTTGGCCAAGACCATGGTGACTTTGTGGGGTCTGATTGGGTTGCCAGTCGGGAGACTTCAGTTTTCAGTGTGTTTCTGTGTGTTTTGTTTGCTTTTGATTTATAGTGTTGCTGTAACTGAGTTTTAGAAAAGCAATATAAAAATGAATCTTGTTATTATTTTCTGATTGACTCCATTTGGGGCAATGAGGGGACTGTGTAAATTTGGTTATCACTTTAAAAATTAATTGCTTGTTAGATTTTGCTGCAAGCCATTGTTCTGTGTTGATGATCATATTACTGTCCATCTTTTTCAGCCTTATGATGCTGCTTTCAAACTTTTGTCCTGTACTGCACTCCCACTGGTTCGGCATATTAGAAATCATTCTAAAGTTATCGAACTGGTGGGCCAGTCTGTTAGTGTTGAGTGTCTGGAAAGCTTCTTGAACTTTCAGATCAAAGGTTCTGATGCCCAAACACTTCAGCAGACAGAAAAAAAGAGAACACAGAAGACAAGCATGTGAGAGACTGAGCTCTCATTCTTATTCTGTGAATTAATTATTTTTGGTAAAAACAAAATTAGCACTTGCGGTGGAGCTGAGAGGTGCTTTCTCTTTGAAGGCTGGTGGGATTATCGAGCAATCAGAAATGAAAAGAGATGTTTTACTTGATTGCCTTCTGTGTTAGGTATGAGTACTTGAAGGAGCTCTGTGGAGAGGAGGAGCACTCAGGAAATACAGATCGAGAGAGAGTGAGAGTGAAAGAGAGACAGAGAGAGAGAGAGTCAGAGAGAGAGAGAGAGAGAGAGAGAGAGAGAGAGAGAGAGCAACAGATAGAGGGGAATAGAGAAAAAAGGAACAAGACTTAAGGGGACATAGAAAAAGAGAGAGAAGAGAAAGAGAGACTGAGAGAGAAAGAGTGAATAAAAACGTAAAGAGAGATAAATTGAGAGAAAGAATGCAAATGAGAAAAAAGAGAGGGGAAGAATAAGAGAGAGATCTTTCAGAGACAGACAAAAGGAAAAGGAATGAGAGAGGGAAAGAGAAAAAGAGAGTTAATGGAAAAGAAAAGAGAGAAAAAGAGAAAGAGAGGCAAATGGAGGGAGAAAGAAACACAGAAAGAGAGCAAGAGAAAGAGAAAGAAAAAGTGTAAAAAAGCAGACAAAGTGAAAAGAGAATAGAGAAGTACAGAGAAAAACATAGAAAGAGAGAGAAAGAGTGAGACAATGAGAGACAGAGGAAAAAAGAGTGAGGGAAGATGAGAGAGGAGAGAGAAAAAGAGGACAAAGGAATGATCCACAAAAGAGAGAGAGAGAGAGAGAGAGAGAGAGAGAGAGAGAGAGAGAGAGAGAGAGAGAGAGAGAGAGAGTGAAAGACATCTGGAGAGAGAAAAATAGAGAATTATTGTAATTAGGGGATTATTGAGCATTCAGAAATGAGAAGAGACGGTGTAGCTGATTGTCTGGTGCTGGGGGGCTGCAGTAGGGGGGCTGCAGTGGGGGGGCTGCAGTCAGAGCCGTGCTGCTCACTGTAGTACAGGGCAATCACACCACGCATCAAACACATGATGAAGCACAGAGAGGAGAGAGAGAGAGCATGAGTGGACTGGAAGAAGACTCAGCCAGGCATGGAGAGAGAAAGACTCCATCAAAGAGAGCAGAGGAGGGAGGAGAGGGATGAAGGGATGAATGATGAAGGAGCAGACACAATGCTGGAGAAGGATCTGAGAGCAGACAGACGCTTCGGTGGAGAAGCTGATCTAGTAGTTATTAATCTAGAGCAAATTCATAAAACAATATTCAAATATAGTCGACACAAACGTCTTTTAACATATTGTGAAAAGAAATTCCATTGATTTCCATTCCAACATAATTAAATGCTTAAGATGTAAACAAAGCCGTTCAGAGTGGTTTGGTGTGAAATGCTCTGTTCTAGAGAAACTTGCAGAGTCAGAATTGTTCACAGTGGTGGTGATAGGAACCAGACGTCCACCTCTAAAAGCTCCCTCGCAGAAAGTTAGAATACACAGTTTTTGGTCTTACATGCATTTATCTCACTCTATTCATGGGGGAGGGAGACCATGCAGGGTGTTGTGAGGCAAAAAAGTCCCAAAAAAAAAGTATTTTTCCATCCATCCATCCATCCATCCATCATCTAAACCGCTTATCCTTCTGGGTCGCGGTGGGGTGCTGGAGCCTATCCCAGCTGTCATTGGGCGGAAGGCAGGATACACCCTGGACAGGTCGCCAGTCCATCGCAGGGCAGACAGACAGACATACACATTCACTCACACACTCACACCTAGGGGCAATTCGGCATGTCCAGTTGGCCTGACTGCATGTCTTTGGACTGTGGGAGGAAACCAGAGTACCCGGAGGAAGCCCACACAGACATGGGGAGAACAGGCAAACTCCACACAGAAACGACCCTGGTCACCCAGCCGGGAATCGAACCCATTCGAACCCATTCTTGCTGTGAGGCGACAGCGCTACCCACTGCGCCACCGTGCCACCTGTATTTTTCCAATTTAGCATTATTTTACCATCATCTTCATTCCATATACAAAATGTAGGTAAATTTGTGTTATAGCTAAATAGCTAAATTTGTGTTGTAGTCATGGCAACCCCTAGTTCCTATCACCACCACTGTAAAGAAATCTGAGTCTCTACAATCAACCATTTCAGACCAAACCACCCTGAATGACTTTGAATGTTTACATCTCAATGACTGAATTATGCACTAATTCAGAAAATTCCCATCAACAAAGCCTAAAGGCTCAAACAAAAGACTTGATATTCTGGAAATGCACTATGGACGTGTTCGCCAGGAGAATCGACTTGACTACACTTAATCATAATTAAATACTTTTCAAATGTGATTGCATGATCACAATCAACAAGGCTTTATTATGTACTGAATTACATGGAGAACTATAGCTGAAATGTAAAGGATGATTTTGCTTTCAGAATAAAGACTCGACAATCACTTTATCAAATTCATTATCTTTTCTTCTACTTACAAACACAAAAGTGGATTTGATTGGAAGTTTCTACAGAATGTGTCCACTTTTCTGCCATGAGCTACTAATGACAAATCTCTAATATATAAGAACACCATGCTTTTATCATCACTGGCACAATTTATAGGTTTGAATTATGTCTCAATAGCCACGTTTACATGCAGCCTGATAATTCATTAAAAATCCAATTTATAGCTCAATTGGAATAGAATGTGTTCATGTATACACCTCAGTCGGAATAGATGAGTCCGATCGAGGCTATTCGGAATGCAATCTCTATCCGATTGAGCGAGGTGGGTAATACTGTTAATAATCTGTTAAATAGAAGAATAATATCCATGTAAACGCCTGTATCTGATTACATTCCCAATCAGAAAGTTTAAGTATGTTCTGTTCATGTGCCTCGCGTCATAAAGTTTATAACATTCAACATGGCGGGAGCAGAGACTGGTCTGCAGAGCTTATGTGTCTCAGAACACGACATCTTCCTCTCGGCCTTTTTTAATAAGAACATGTGAAGGACGTTTTCCTGAGTCTGACATCATTTTAAAGCAATTAAAAACACAAGCACTGCTCACTGCTGCTCATCTCACTCTGGACTCACGTGATGCTCGTTGTCATCTACGCGGTTCTCTACCATTGTGTGTAATTTTAGATCGGATTACTTGTAGTGTGCAGGTAAATGGAAATTTTCTATCAGATTATTGAGTAGTCTTAATCTGTAATCTTCAACAAATCTATATTCTAAAGGTTAAAGAGACCCCACTGAAGCCCAATACATTATCCCCAAAGCCAGAAATGAAAAAGCCCAGTCTATTTTCCATTCAAACAGAGAGAATTCTCTCTCAGTGCTGCTGATTTCTCAGAGCGAGAGAAGAATAAAGATCAACTGAACAGAGAAACTCATTCCCACTAATGAACAGGTGGATCTCCAACTTACTGAATACCTCTGTCTATAATGAAATAGCTTTTTCTGGGCCACCAGGAAACAAGAACAAAACTATCAGAGCATGGATAAATATGATTACTCATCGAAGAGGCTTGTAAAATATCGCAGATATGAAGGTTCAATTATAGAACAAAAAATATGCCAATGATTATAATATAAATAAACCCACAAATCATTTCAGTTTCACGGCAAGGTGACATGATTATGCTGGATTTAGCTGAAAATCACACTGGTGTTAAAATGATGATGAAACTTAAAGAAGTTCCGCCCATCCCTTCAGCAGAAAAGCAACGTGTTTCAAAAGAAAATGTTAAAATAATGTCTTTTTTTTTTTTTACAAAATAATTATTTATGCCAAAATCCCCTCTTACATTTTTGATGAGTCATAACTGAAATTTTCAGTCTATTAACCTAAACCTAATGTCACAATTTGAACCACAATCAGACAAAGTTCAGAAACTATTGTCTCCTACACTTATAACAAACGATGGTTCTTCAAGGGTTCTTTTGTAAAGAAAATAATTCTATTTCAATGATTAAAGGGTTCATCATGAAAGGGTTTTTCAGACTGATGGAAAATTGAGATAACCCACCAAACCCCACCAGCACAAAAAGAATGGGGAGATTTTCATTAATTTGCCTTTCTCTTAGCAAATGTGCCCCCTACTCCTTAATTTCACCAACGAAAACTAAACTATGGTATGTTCTAGCACAGTATTGCATTCCCCTGAATTATTATGGTGTGGAATAAACATAATGTAGTTACTAACCCCTCAAAAAATGCAAAGGAAGTAAGCATATCACTATATCTTATTGATATATAGTCCCCTACAAAATTAGTGGTACTCCTGTAAACATAAGTGAAAAGAGTCCTAATAAATATAATAAATTTACCTTTTGATAAATTAGCTTAATCTCACACTGGCAAAATGAGAAAAATCACACCTTCAATTGAAATTAATTTATTCTGAGATAAATCATCATGATATATACTTTTTTTTTTTTAGAAAAAAAAAAAAAAAACACTTGTGCCATAATTATTGACACCTGTACAAATTCTTCAAAATAAGATGTAACTGAAGTTTTTTTTATTTTATTTTTTTTTTCCATTTATATTTTCCTTTTTTGTTAAATGGTCAAATCAGGAACTTTCAAGCAGCAATCCATGACTTCCTGTTTCACTGGGCTATATAAATGATACATACTAACTACACAGGAACGGTCTGTTTATTTTAAAGTGTACCTTAAACACTACAGGAAAATTCCTGTGTAGTTGTTATGTAGGTACAGTGTAATTACAGAGTGGTATTAATCAGTGTAATGTGATTAGGTCACCTTGTTACAACACAGATATTCCACAGTAATTATTTAAAACATAAATGTAAAGGATGTTTTACACAACATGACCTGCTGGAAAAGACTTCTGATCTGTAGTGTATCAAAAAGACCAAAGAAGAGGCAAAACTGAAGTTGAACTGAAGATGTGTAATTACATAGGCTGTACTTCTGTAATCCATCTATAACAATGACTAAATCATCGGTAGTTACAGGGTCAATGCATGTTATTCATGTATAACTACACAGTTATCACTTAATATAAAGTGTGATGTCTAACCATACACAACACAAACTCCATCAATTTGAAGGATGGTTTCAAAACTTAATTATAGCCTAGTAATTTTGAATAATGTCAAGGAGCATGTTGTGCCCATTCCTCTCCACAAAATTTGTCAAGCTCT